AAGTAGGTATTACCAATTTACACTTATCCATACAAACACAAATATAAACACACAGACACACACACACACCACGGGTTACATTGTTCGCACTTCTAATTTCTATATGTTTGTGTTTATTATTTATCTTGGCATTTGGTTTAGCTATTAGTATCATATTTTTGTGTATTCGAAAAATGTTTCTATATTTCCCATTTGTTGACTGAACAGACGAGGTAACGATTTTACGGTTTATCGGCCTTTACTATTTTGCCGAGTTGCATGTGTTAGAAGAAATATTTTAGGCCACTTTTGGTTGTTGTTAGATTTTAGCGTTTACTTGTGGAAAACAAATATTGCTCGCATTTAAGTTCAATTGGTATTAATTAAATAATTGAAAAGGGCTGAAAATCAAGGGCTAATAAAACGAGGTTGTTTAAATTTTTGATAAGCTTACAAACATGTCCATTCCTTATTTGCTTCGTTTCTGCAGAAAAGATCATAAAACTATAAAATTTTAGGTTCCCTCAAGTTTATTTTGATTTGTTTATTTTCTCACGTTTGAATGCCCTTGGACTTTGTGGAAATTAATATAATAAGGTGGGATATAATATTATATAAAGAAAAAGTTATGGAGATAACAGTAATTATAAGCATAGTGTGTTCAGGTCAAAAAACGACAATTGGTTTGCCACTTTCAGAAACTACGTTTGATCGAATTTCGTATTTGCCTGTAATTTGGTCAAACTTAATAGGAGGAGTACTTTTATTCGTGAAGTGTACAAAATATCGATCTTTCCGAAAATATTTGTTGTTTGATTTGCTTGAGATTCGGAACAATATAGAGATTTAAAAATTGTATTAGAATTACTTTAGATATCTGTGGGACCGGTTTTGAAAATTATTTATTTAAAAAAATGTTATATTTATCATTTAATCATTGGGTGTTTTAAACTCTTCTTCCTATTTTTACGCTCAAACTTCATAACTTCTTTGATGAACAGCAGTACATGTAGGAGGATAAGGAAAAGGCTAATAATATTTTTTTCTCTGCCAAGAATTAAACGGCAGGTAACTATGCATATGAAAAGTGGATCGGGTGGTAACAATACAATTCTAATAATCTTACAGGAATAGCGAACACGCTAGTCTTGAAAGTATTCGATTTAGTATTCGTTGGTGGATCAAATGAGGAAAAAACTGGCTTCACTTGTTGCCTCTAATTGTCACTAAGCTGCGACATATACAACTATTTTCGAAGCAGTGCCTTTAAGAAGAAGAAAAACAAGCTGTTCTGACCTTATTATATTAATATAAACGAATTTTACTAGCCACCTAATACCGCTTATGTCTAGTACTTGGTTGATAGTGTTGCTCTAGAAATCAGGGAAATTGGTTAGTCTAATCTAGGATATTTTACATACTCGTATGTATATAGCGAAGACATTTTATTAAAGTTGTGTACCTCTACATTGAACTGCGGCTGCCACCACAATTGCCGAATTATTAACAGTTAAATTGGTTAAATAGCGCGACCGAAAATCGCTTCAGTGGGTATGTCCAATTGAGTCAGCGACTTTGACGCTGGTCTTTTCTTCAAAAGTACACCTAAATTAAACATGATCCTCTAATTTGATCCCTATTTTACCAAATCTGGTACCTAGGAGAATTTTTTGAATTATTATAAACTCCATATTTCATTCATTTTTAATAAATTATCTAAGCTAAGTGGTATTCGTCTCAATAGATTAGTACTCCGAAACTATTTTGCTTTACCGTTACACCACTTTATTCCATGTAAATATTACCCTTTCTAGAAGTAGAATAACTGAAAATCTTTCTTCTCAGATTACGAGATCATACCCGGAACATTCCCTCTTTATTTCATATCACAACTAGCGATTTAGGTTATGCGTTGATTCGCCAGTCATTCAAGACAAAGAGTGCAGCTGTCCATCAAATTTGGTTGAATTATCTCACTGAAACTATCTCTATCTCTTCTTCTCCTGGTACTTAACTGCTTTGGACCAAAGTTAATATACCATTTCATGTACATTGAAGATATCAGAATTTTTCTCGAATCCATGTCTGACGCCGATAAGAAGAGTAAGGCTAAGCTTAGCACCACGATAAATAATATCAATGTCAAAATTTACCCGTTATGGGCTAAAAATTATTACAACATACCTTAATGGTAGCAGTTCTTATTATTCTTTCTATGTTTATATAATTTGTCATGAAATAGCAGACCGGGTATGATTAAAGATGATTTTTGAACATTAACCTAAATTTCTACATTATTATTGCTCTCTATTTTTTTATACACATAAAACCACAAATTTTCAATTTTGAAAATGATATTCTGTGTAATTATTACAAACGTGGATCAGGCCTAGCGAAATGAATTACACCACGTTTAGAGATTAACTACCCTCTAGTACTATATGCCAAAAATTTTATTTATATTGGTGTAGTAAAAAAGAATCCATTATTTTTGAAGAAAATTAAAGGCTTTAATTTTTGCTTTACATATCCAGCCAAACGGTTTTTTGTGCTATTTAAAGCTCATGGGCAATGAAAAGATTGCTCACATGACGATCGGACTCGACAATGTCAATGATTTTATCAACATTTTCGACAATTGGCCTTCCACTCTGTGAAGCATTTGTTACATAAAAATAACCAAAATGAAAACGAAATTGTGCATGATTGACTCCAACGGTATCATGACCATAAACGCTATTCATATTATCAGCCGCCCGGCTTACATTTTCGCCCTTATCGAAGAAAAAATATTAAATATTGTATATCTTCCCGTTACTGGTGTCCATCTTTGACACACGCTCAATCAAGACTGTTAGAAAAATATTTTTGGTACGAAATGTTATCTTTATAATACCATCTATCGGAACCCGATCGGACTTATACAACGTGATATACAGATAAACAACGCCACCTATTGGAAAAAATGATTGACAATTATAAATAATTGATCTCTTTTTACTACACCTGATATTAATAGATTCATTATTTTATAACATAGCATTTATTAACATATCTTCTACGTGTGTGTCAAATAAATATGTACATACATTTATTTATAAAGGATGTGAAATATGTACTTATAAGTATGTGCATCCATCAAGCTTTACCACTCAGAAGAAACGGATATCAATGCAAATTTCTTTAGCCACATTTGTATTTCATATAAACTCCGTAGAGTAGATCTCCTGAAAATCATTAATTTTGTGATGTCTTTAAGTGGATTTTGAAGACAAAAACTTTTTCTGGTATTTTCATTGAATCAAAACTACTTTTCATCGTTTTTCTGCAACATAGTTTTTTTGTTAATAATTTTCAAATATTATTTAAATTATATTTTGACAACTTTTGTGCATCCCATGCCTTTTTTTCTGCCAAATATTTAGCTCCTTCAAAACTTTAATATTTTATTTGCAATAATAAAAATAAAGCAATGAATAGTATCATTCGTAAGTATTTTCCTTTCAGCTTTGCTCGTATATACATAAGTAGAAGTTGCTCTCCACCTGCTACAACATTTATTTTCTTTTGCGAACTGTATTTATTTTCACACAATTTTTACGCTCAAAATATTATTCGATCAATAACACCAATAACGGTATACTGTAAATACAAATGCTGTACATATAGGTGAATATTCGGTCGGCTTAAGAACAATAATAACAACAGAAAAGCTACAAAGCTGTTAAAGAACCACACCAGAAGTGGGCAATCGAATCGTGTTCGCTACTCAACCGATCGGACACGAACACACACGAGTACCGCTGTAGCTGTATTGGTGAAGCCTGACATTTCGACAAAGCCAAAGACAAAACCTAAAATGCAAGGCACAAAGCGCAAAAGCAAATTGCAAAAGCCAATACAAGCGAAACTTGACTTTTGCGCCAAATACGCCGAAGGTGGCAGTGCGGTCGGCGTCGCTACAGAACAGTGTTGCTAGAGCTTATTAGCTGCTTGGCTGCTCGACTGTTTCGTCAATGCTGTTGATTATCATTCGCACTGAAGGCGATCGTATGCATGTATACATGTACATAGGTATGTGGTTAACTACCGCTACCGGTGCTGTTGCTGCTGCGACATCGCTAATTCTGTTTTAACTTTTTGAGTTTTGCTTTGATTTAAACTTTGATTTTTCAGCTACTATTTTTCGGTTTTCGACTTATCCCTTTATGTTTATTTGGCTATTGGGTTTTATATTTTTCAAAATTTAATTTTTTTTGTTTTCGCTGACAGCGGAGTTTTGCGAACTCTTAACAGCACTGCTGTGATGTACGCTAGGCGATCGGTGATGAGTCTGCTCTTTGAACGCTGCGTTCTCTGCGCTTCTGCTGCTGCCTCTGCTGCTTCTACTAGTCTGAGTATGCATGTGTGTGTGTGTTTAACTTTGCTTGTATTGCGAATAGGCAGCGTCTTTGCGCGTTTAGCAAAAAAATATTATTTTATCTTGTGATTGTCGAGAAGTTTTACAGTCAGTTGAGCATAAACATTCATACGGCGCGGTTTGGTGCAATAATATTAGCGAAAAGAGAACTAATTTATGCAGTACAAAGCAATACCACTTAGAACATAGTGAATTGTACGGTGGCGTATACGCAACATTTAATATTTATGATATTCTAAATATTTAGAATGCGATTTTAAGCCACGTTCAAAGAGTGCTAAACGAAATATATGAATTATAAGAATTTTATATTATAATAATAAACGATATATGTTAAATTTTATGAAGCTTTCCATAAAAGATACTATAAAAAATTTTAAGAATATCGTTTAAAAATTAATATATATATATTTGAAACTTAAAGTCCACTTAAAAAGTGCATAGAATGAACCTGACAGTGTAGCATTGTGTGCGTGTGTGTTAATGTGTAGAAAAAATACAAAAATAATTGTAGTTATAAGTTAAGTAAAATAATTAAAACATAAAAAAAAATTTAGTATCAAATTTTGTGTTTTATATGATTTAACAGAGAAGAAATCAAAAATAAACATAACCTACTAAACAAAAATATAGGATAGTTTAAAACAACAGCCAAAAATCACACATCCACACATACAGTCAAAATGAATAGCAACATAACTTCACGCTTCGATATGGCCGCTGAGATAGCGACCATTGCATTGGATGAATTCAAAGCGCATCATGTTCATTGGAATTACACGGGTCTGATACAACGCTACTACCATTTGGTTGAACGAGATTTTGGTGGTATGTATTGTTTGCAAAAAAATATTCGAATTACATTAAATACACATATTGAAATGCTAAATGAGTTGGAGACGAATTCGAGTTCCGAAGTCACTTTTGACAAATAAAAGAAAATAGGCGATAAACTAGGTGTGTGCAAAAATCGAAAAATAATAGCAAGCCGGATGCAAAAACTCTGTTTTAAACGAAATATTATATAATGGTGACAAAAATATGTATATATTTCAATTCAAAATTATTTAGGAGTTTGCTCATAGTAAATCTGATTTTTGCTATGAATATTTTTCATTATTCACGAATGGTAATTTTTCTAATTTCGATACTCCTTAGAGAGTGAATGAAATTTTCGAGAAAAAGCTATAAAATTTTAATGTTTCTAATGCGGTCGTTGGCAGGGCATGTCAAGCCCACTAATTATATTTGCGACTTAGAGTAAACTTTAAGTTCTATCATTTGTTGGAAAAACATCAAGACGCATACTTCAAATGCAAGAAAGAACTCAGCCCATAAAACAAGAAAACGATTTTAGAATGATACATTATTTTTGGAAGAAATTACTTTTCTTTTTACCACAGATTTCAATATTGTTTCGAAGGTCAACTTTTGATTTGAAATAACGATAAAACGATAAAAAAAAACTCTGTCATGGTATATAGATGCAAGTTGTCTTTTATGGTTTCATGATTAAAATAACAAACTACCCTCCTTAATCAATCATTGTGTTAACAAAAACAACACAAATATTAGATGTTTCTATTAAAAAAAAAATATAAAATAAATTAAAAAAAAAATCTATCCCAAATTGAATGAATAAGATGAAAGGAAGTATAAACGGCAATAGAACCCAAAGTGCTGAGAAAAATTGAATCCAATAAAAGCATTTGTTTTTTTATAATATTTAATTTTACTACTTTTAATTTATTTGATTTAATTTTAACCCAACAAAGTTTAAAGTATTTTATTTAATTTAGGTTTTTTTCTCTTATATAAAGACATTTAAATTTATATTATATTTTATCACTTTATTCTATTAATGACTTTAATTTTTTGTATATAATTTCGAATTTCAGTTTATTTTATTTTTATTTCATTTAATTCAATTTAATTTTATTTAATTTCATATTTATTCGTTATTTTAAAACATGTGAATTTATATTGTTTTATATTTAATATAAATTATGTTATTTCATTTTGTTTTGTTATATTTTATCTTACTTTTTATTTTATTTCATTTTATTTTGTTTTATTTAATTTAATTTAATTTTATTTTATTTCATTTTGTTTCATATTATTTTATTTTAGTTATATTATTTTACTTAATTTTTTTTTAACTTATTTAATTTAATTTAATTTTATTTTAATTTATTTTATTTATTAATTTATCTTACCATGTTTTGTTTAATTTTCTTTTTACTTAAATTAAATTATTTTATTGAATATTTTGTGTTATATTTTTTATTATATTTTTTTTTATTTTTATATTTTGTTTAACTTTATTTTATTTCGTTTCCAATCATTTTTTTATTTCATTTTATTCTGTTTTATTTTATTTAGTTTTATTTCATATTATTTTATTTTTTATTCCATTATATGTTTTTTTATTAAAATTAATATAATTTAATTTTATTTTGTTTCATTTTATTTTACATTGTTTTATTTTATTTTATTTTATTCCATTATTTTTTATTTTATTTTATTATATCATACTTTATTTCATTTAATTTTTATTTTATTTTATTGGTTTTATTTTATTTCATTTATTTTTTTTTATTTAATATTTTGTTCTTGTTTTTCTTTATTTTATTTATCTTTCCTTGTTTTGCTTTGTTTTCTTTTATTATAAATGATTTTATTATATTGTATAATTTATATCATATTTTTTTATATTATTTGCTTTCTTTGACTTTATTTTACGTCATTTTGTTTTATCTTCCTTATTTTATTTTACTTTATCTGAATTTAATTTGCTTTATACTATTTTTTTTATTTTTTTTTTTTAATTAATTTATTGTATAATTTATACTTTTTTAATTTTTTTTCTTATTTTTGTACAATTTTTAATATGTGGTTTCATGTTTTTTGTTTCTTTTCGCTTTGAAGTAAATACAAAAATTCACATTTTCAAATAATTTCTGCATTAAATGATTAAATGTGTATCAATCTTCATATTATTAGTAACTATTTATTTAGTTATTAAAATAAAATTCTTCAAAAATCTTTCCATACAAAACAATGCAATTAAATGCATACTTCTTAATTGCGAGCCAACTTAATCATTGGGGCACATACACATATACATATCCCTACTCGTGTACACTTTTGCTAATATAATAATTATAATTATATTTATATTTGCCTACTTTTGAAAAGTATTCGTTGTCTGTTTCGTACGTTAAGAAGTGCAAAAAAATCCCCATAAACCAGTTTCGATTGCAATTAGAAATGCAAAGAATTTTCCACAGCAGCATAAATGACGCATTGCAAATGTATAACTGTGTGTTGGAAATCTTGAAGCTCACAATAAATGCACTACTCACAAAAAGGCTTATTAACCGCACACGGAATGATTAGTGTAATAGGCCTGCATATGTGTGTGTTTATGTTGGAAAATACATAGTAAGAAAAAATTAAATATATGTTTTTGTATCGGTTAATAGGTATTTATGTATTTCAATAGTTATATGTATGCATGTAAGTATATACATAGATATAAAATTTTGTAGCCCATAAAATTGCTTTAGTTGTGATATATTTATGAAAACTGCAATTAATGTGCATTGACGACTCTATGTACGTATGAGTATGTGTGAGGCTGTGCGCTAAACTGAACGTTATTTCATCCGCTTGCGTGCAAGGGTCAGTGACGCATACAAAGAGGTTACGAGTATAAATGCGGCAAAATTATTTGCACCATATTGAAATTGTGTTTTCTAACAAAAGAAAATGAAAGTATAAACAAAAACATTTGTAATTATTTGCATTTTATATTCAAGTTATCTGCTTAAATGGCGTCTAAATGTTTGCTTAAGTACATAGATTAGATTTTAGGAGAAACATTTTATACACTACTAAATGAAAAGTTCGAAGAAAATAAAGGCTGAGTCGATTTAAATGTGTTCTATGTGCATATGTGTACGTACATAAATATATATATTTTTTTTTTTTTTTGAAATTTTGTTCAACAGTGTTAGTAAAAAATATCATGTCTGCACTAACCTCAAAAAATTTCAATAAGCTTCTATGGAAAAATGATATGATATTATAAAAAATAATATAAAATAACTAAAAATTTTCATTTTTTCCTAAGCCAAAGAAATTTTACTAGGCGCCCGGCTGAAAAAATGATGAAAAACGTTGCCACCTTTTTTAAGATATATAAAATTTTTTTTAAAAAACAATTAAAAATGTTGCTTTTATCCCAAGTAAAGAAACTTTAATAGGTTCTCAGCTGAAAATTATTAAGAAGCGTTGCCAACTGTGTAAAATAAAAATTTCAATTAAAAAGTGAATGAAATAATTAAAATATTTAGTATTTGGTTTTAGCAGAAGAACTTTCAAGGTCAAATGGTATAAAAATTTATTGTACAGAAGCATTGCTATCTTTTGAAAAAAAATGTATATAAAATAAAAAGAGAAAGAAATAATTAAGAACTTTACTCTATGTTCCAAGTCAAAGGAATTTCAAAAAACGACCCGCCTGAAAAATTTGTGATGGGTGTTGCCACCAATTGAATACAATTTTCAGAAGCATTGCCAACTATTTCAAAAATATATAACAATAAGAACTGAATGAGATAAGTAAGCACTTCATTGTTTGTACTTAGAATATGTTAAGGAAGCGTTGCCAGCTATTGTGACATAAATTAAAAATTAAAAATCATAAAAGAAAGTGCATAAATATGAAAATAATGGCATTCGTATTAAGCAATAGTAATTTCAAAAGAATTCGAGCCGTTCGAAGAATTTTATGAAAAAAAACCGTAATTTTATATTTTTCTTCTTCACCTTTCTTGTTACAGCATTCTTCATTCATATTAGTTAAAAACTCGCGATAATTTCGCTGATCAAATGGTTTTCGATATTAAAATTAGATTTGCTTGAAGATTTGGTCTGAGAGAGCTGTGGATGATTCAAAGTGTGCTAACTTAAGTTTCCACAGCTTGCTGTATTATCCGTTTTTGAACACAAAAAAAATATCGAAACAGAAAATAAAGGTTGATTTCCTTTATGTGTTAAGAAAAAATGTTGATCGCTGAAATTTATCAGCTTACTCCGCCACCATTTGCTTAAAACTAAGAACACCATGGATCTTACTAACATTTATTCAAGTTACAGTTTAATTTAAAAAACAAAATCAGCAAATAATTAAAGCTTTTCGGAAAAGTAAAAGAAAAATTCTTAACCTTTTAGACCACTCAAGGTCAACTTTCACTTTTCACTATACAACGAATTTAAAAAAAATGAATATTTTCCAACATCAAAGTTATACACAGAAAGTCTGTAGAAGTCCATTAGACAGTGTTTAAGCGCTAATAAAAAATTATAAATATTAAAATATATTTAAATTTAGCATTGCGTGAATGTTGAACTTGAAAGCGGTACTTCATGGTAATGAATTAAGCCCTTCAAATTACTAAAATCCATATATATGTAAACATATATATATATATATGCACGCACACACGAGATTAAAGCCTTTTACAACAACAACACAAACCCATTAACGACCTTGACAATGTCAAACGCTTAACGGCGGGCACTTGCTTCTTTTATCTTTGACAATTATTACAGTAATTAAATGACATTTGAATTATTATACACACGTACAACAAAAAAAAAACAATGCATGGGCAAATAATTGTCAATTTCCTACTTTAAATTTTTTTATTACGCTTTAATTATATATTTATGTATGTTATATACACATAGTTGTATGGTAAAAATATGTAGATAGTTTTATTTTTTCAATTTTTTCTCATATTTCATTTTCCTTCTTTTTTGCCGTTTACGCATTTGCTGCAAACTTTTTTCTGTTTGCTGTGCCGCTGAGCATGTAGCATCGCATTTGGTTTGCAACTTACAACTTTTACAGCTATTCAATTATAAATAACCTTTTAAAATATTTCAATGATAATATATTTACATATACATTTTTACACATTTGATACATTGATGCTGAAAAAGTAAATGACGTTTGGCAAAGTTAAAAAAAGAATAATAATAATAAATGAAATAAAACATTGTCAACGTCGGAGGGGTGGACATTCCCCGCGGAGAGGCTACTGCGAATAGAAAAATTTTAATTAATATTAAATTTTTTAATTAAAAATTATTTTCTATAATTTGGAACCACTCATCTATTTCAGAATAAAAAATTTATAGAATTGCAAGAAGAATTGCATACTATATTAATAATTAATTATTTATTATTATTTATTTTTTGCCACATACTTCAACTATACACAAAAGACTTAAGCCACAAACCTTGCTCTGAATAAATCATAAAAATCATTTAAATTAATTCAAGAAACAATATATTAATAAGGCGTTAATTGCGAAAATGTCTTTTAATAACTATGATTAAATATAATTTTTCAACAATTCAACTACGCACAAACTTGAATCAAATTAAATGTTCGAGCAATAATCAAGCTATTTGTTGTTCACCCTCTACTTTGCCTTTGTCCCTCAAAGTAATGAACATTAAGAAAACAATGTAGATATACACTTAAGCTTTGACTTATGACCCTGCTTAGGCTAGAGACATTAGATGCTATAAACATGAATAAAACTACAGTCAGCTAGGAAAATCTACAGTAGCAATGCACTCAATTTAGTGTTGTATGAAAGAGAGCAGAGAATTCATAACTAGTGTATGAGTAGAAAACAGATTTTATTTAATAAATATATACAAAGTTATTACATAGTATCACGCTTACGAAAAAAAATAATAATAATAATTGCCCTAAAAACTTGGAATTCATCTTTACTAAAACACTTGCTGGCTGTCAGCTGCACACGCTGTTTACAAGTGAAATGCTCATCTTAGAATGGTTAAGGAATGAACGCTTATATATTTGTGTCCACAAAGCTAATCAAGCAAATTACGTGCTTTACAGCGATTCTTATATTTAATTAAATTGTTTGCAAGTTGTAGTTTGTATATAATAAATAACCGATTAGTCGTGGCACATGTTGAATAGCAGTCATTTTGCATTAAAAAATATATGTAATTATAGTGTAGGAAACTATGGAGATTCTTATCAATAAATGTGTGAAGAATTATAAACAATTACATACATTCATGAGAGTGTTATTTGTACCAATAGAAGAGGTACAGTAAAGTACGCTAAAGAGGGGAGAGCAAGGCAGTATTTAAATATTATTATATGTATATAAAGATTTGCTTGCTTGAAAAAAACATATTTTATAATATTTTTAATACAACAACAAATTGGAATTTTAGTTAACAAATAAGTCGTTGAAATATTAGCAAATTTCAGGCATCTGAAACGTACTATAAAATTAAAACCTTATTAGCAAGACAAACGCGCATTTGAAACTAAAATTGTATTTTCATTAATATGGCAAAAAATTTATTTTTTTTTCAAATGTAAGATGTAAAGAAAGGTAAAAAAAATTTGTTCAGGCAACAATTTTTTTTTCAACAAAAAAACAGAAATTAAAATGACAAGAAATAACGAATTTTTACTTTTTTGTTACAAATATAATTACTTTTTTTCCCGCTTATATGATAGTAAAAGAAAATAGGAATGCTTAATGTTATTGGTTTTCTTTGTGGTGATACAATAGAAGTAAACAAAAATGGATCGTTTGGAAAAGGGTTAAGTTTTCATCAACTCAAGCTCTGCAGCTCTACAGTAGAAGACAATGAAATTGGCAGCATATTTTCCATTTTGTAAATAATATTGGTTCCTTTAGCACAAATTCAAAAAAAATTGGGTGCTGCGACAATATCTGCTGTGGCGTAAAAATGACATGTGCAGCCTACCTCAGTTGGTGGGGATTGATTGGCATCCACTATACGCTCTTTTAAATCCTTTACTGTAGAGAATGTAGCAGCCATTTTTACAATTTTTCCCCCACCTCCACCTTATTTATACTAGCAACTTCTCCTTCCACCACTATTTCTCACGTAGCATGTAAATTAAACAACTAATAAAAGTTTTTTAAATAGATCGATCCCAGTTCCATTTCCCGGAAAACCCTTTCTCAATGTGCGCCTACGCCATAAGCAGAACACAATCTTCATGTTTTAGATCTCTTCAACCAGTGGTTTAAGCGATATTTTGATCTGTCAGTCAGTCAGTACAAAACCCTTTATATATATATAAATGGGCAATATAGTAGATCATGCGATTATTTTTCTCTCGTCGGCGACAGCGATGTCCATCCAATTTTCCAATTTCAAGAATGAAAAATTTGGCGTAAGCTCCGAATAAATTATGTGAAATTTCTAGTGAGCATTGCCCCAATGGACACCGGTATCAACATTGGTTTGTTTGGTTTTTACAACTTAGCTTCCGCCGTTTTCCGATAGGTGGCTGCACCGGCCGAGGCTGGTTGAAATACATAGATGACAGTTGTTCTTGTTTTCGTATTATTCACGCTCGAAAATGTCCGTTTATGGGCCTAATTCTCGCCATTTGCGGGAAGTTTTACTTACGAAGACAAACATGGTGGTGAAAGAGAAAAAACCTTCAAAGATGAACAACTAGAAGCATTGCTTGATGAAGATTCATGCCAAACCCAAGAACAGCTTGCCGAATCGTTGGGAGTGAGTCAGAAAGTTATTTCATAACGTCTCAAGGCTCTGGGAATGGTTCAATATCAAGAGCGACATGACAAAGTCATCCTCCAACACGACAATGCTCGGCCTCACGTCGCAAATGTGGTCAAAAAGTACCTGGAAACGCTGAAATAGGAAGTCTTGCCCCACCCACCGTATTCCCCAGATGTCGCCCCTTCTGACTTCCATCTACTTCATTCGATGGCACACAGCCTGGCAGATCAACATTTTCAATCCTTCGAAGAATTGGAAAAATGGATTGCTTCATGGATAGCGTCAAAAGAGAACTCCTTTTTTCGAGCAGGGATCCGAAAATTGCCGGAAAGATGGGAGAAAGTTGTCGCTAGCGAAGGGCAATACTTTGAATAATATATCCGTAAGCACTTTTTCGCAATAAAGCTTTTAATTTTTGGAAAAAAAACGGCGGAAGCAAAGTTGTACACCTGATAGTTTTATGGAAATTACTGTGTAAATATATTCAATTTTCGATATATTTTTTATATATTTACTTGAGATAGACCTTAAATGAAATTTTAAAGCAAATTTTAAAAGGTATATTATGAATTAATCAATAGAAGAAACCACAGTTGAAAATTATTCGAAGATTTTGTAATAAGGAAGCTGTGAAGCCATATATTTAATTTTTTTTATTGATTTTGCAGATAAATACTGCCTTTTTTGTTTTACAAACATATCTTAAAGAAAGTTATGGAAGGGTCTCTAAAAGAAGGCTAAAAAAATTGTATTTTCTTCAAAATGTTTAATGATTTCCACTGAAAAAAAAACATTTCATGTGACAATTCATTCTTTAATCCCTTCAAATCTGCTAACACTTAAAAGTATTTTTCTGCATAATTTTCAAACGGAAGGCGATCGGGGTATGTACTTCAATAAGGCATAAAACGGCGCATATTTTGAAATTATTTTCTTTGTATGGATTTTCTATCAGTATTATTTGTCTGGCATAGGTCTGATGGGACTCACATAAGGACTGAAAACGTTTGCACTTACTTAAAGTCAATATCAATAGCCCATGAATAGTCAGCAAAATTATACAAAAACAACAATGTAAGCTATTGTATATTATTTACGTGATATAATGTAATATCATTCATAGAATTTTATAAGTTGGCAGTATTTTAAAATTGATTTATAAGTACGTGTATTCCGCTTTTAGTGACGTGAGTTATTGGGGATTACTCCTCTTGTAGTATTACGACTACGTACGAATAATCAGTACTATATGTGCTAACCCTTGCATAATACAGTAACTATTACTTAAAATTTTATATTTATCATAAATAAATATTCATTAAATAGTGTTTGCGCAAAAAAAATCATGGAATATATATGTGTGAATAATTAAAACGAATGAAATAGCGTGTTATTTTCAAGTGTCAATAATTATTTATTGACTATTATTAAATTTAAAAAAAAAACGTTATTACGTTATATGTTGGTTGTACGCTTTGTATTAGAAAATTTGTAAACAATGCAGATATTAATCAGTTGATTTAATTGCAATTTTATACAATAATATTTTTTCAGAAATTTCTATTCGTTAGTGTCACTAACCTTTACTCTAGTGGCATTGCTTTTTGCTTCAAAAGGAAATTTTTAACTGCAACTCCTGCCCACACTGCCAATATATTTTATTTATTTGAATTGACTTGAATTAGATTTACGAAATTTAGTTGCTTCACTGGTTAAATAGCGAAAAATTTTTATGATTCAAAGTGTTTCTCTATTTATGTGAAATATTTAATTTATATTTAAATAAATAACACTAGTTTAACTTCCGGTTGCTGCAAAAGATTACCAAATTAGACAATGTTGACTTCTATAATTTTTGAACTAAGATAGAGTTCATTGACATTGCGATACGAAAACATATACATATAAATATTATATATTTATATCGGTTATGCTTGTTATTGCCAATTGGCATAAATATTTTTTCTCATATGTTTAATTTTAATTAATTTAAAAATAATAAATAAAAATAAAAATAAAAAATAAAAAATAAATAAATTTTATTTACGTTTCGTTTCCAGATCCCCGCGCCATACGTTTCCCACTCATGGAACATCCCCTTTACACATTCGGTTTGGTTGCCATTTACCTGTCTTGGGTCCTTGCGATTGGCCCGATATTTATGCGCGACAGAAAACCATTCCAACTGCGGCGTACGTTAGTCATTTATAATGCTTTTCAGGTGGCGTTAAGTGCGTATATGTTCTATGAGGTAAGAAAATTAACATAGCTATAATTTTTATTCTATATAAATAAGAGGTTGAATGTAGCTTAAAGAGCGTATTTCCCGGGAAGTGTACTTGATATAACGATCTGTACGAAAATATCGGTTGATTTACAAAAAATTTGGTACAGTGCTAGTTTTAGACTTAAATTAATATGAATAATACTTTTTCCTCCTGGAAGTATAGTTGAGATCAATTAATCTATTCCAAAAAAAAAAAGAAATAATTGTAAATGAATTTACATGGAATTTGATAAACATATACATATATGTAAGGGACTCCTTGACAAGAATAATATTTCGAGGAATTGGACCTGGAACAGATTTATTCGAAAAAATCGTATTTATGGCTCAAACGCAAACTTTTTGCTTAGGCTAATAGGAGGAACACTTTTCTTGCTCTTTCATAAATTTCAACTTAATAATTTAATAATTTATAAGTTAAAATAAAACAAATTATATGAAAAGCGGGTTAAAATTATTATTAAAATCATTTTGAAATTCCTTGCGAACAAAGTCTATTGATGAATATAATGTTAAACTATTTTTATTTTATCACTCTAAAAGTAGTTTTAGAGATATATTTATTTGATGTCATTAATAGAGGGTTAACCGTTTTGTGGTTTCATTTATTTATTTATTGGCATTATATGTGGAATACTACATAATTCAAATGGCCGCCACGTGAGGTACTTTTCGACCACTTTTTGGCATAAATTGGTTTTCTAATAATACCGAGAAATTAAAGGGTTATCCACAAACACGAACATTCACTAGCCCAACGGTGTCAAATCACACGATCGCGTTGGTCATTGGACATCACCAAGACGCGAAATTAGGCAGCCGGGAGATTTATTCTGTGAAATTTATTATGTGGCATATGGCACCATCTTGTTGAAAATCACATATTGTCCAAGTCTTCTTCAAATTGCTGACCGAAAAAATTCAGTTATCGTACGATAATGATGCATAAGCTTTATAATATCTGTATACGACCTAACTTTTTCAAATTTCTTAAAGACATTACCAATTACTTTACCGTGATTGGCTGATTGGCCCCACATAACTTACGAATGACGGTAAAGATAAATATACTCTGAGTTTTCAATAAGAGCAGAAGTAAATTTCTTCCTCTTCCTAAGTCTCGTTTAGATAACTTGGCGATATCAACTTTTGTAAACCAAGGTAACAAAATTATTTGGTTTCTTTGACTAAAGTTTTTTGCTTGAAAATTTTCAGTGACATGAATTCATTAATGAAGCATCTTTAGGCGTTTGCAGAACTCAGAATGAATGAAAATAAATATATGTTCTTCAAGGGTTTATTTTCAAGAATTACCCAACTGAAAATCTCTTAAGCAATGAAAAAGTTTACATTTTTTCCAAGAAGTATGCGTACATATATATTTTTAAGACGTGACGTAAAGGACTATCGGACAAATTTATTGTACGTTTCAAAGCAGTTCGAGCTGTATGATGCTCTATTAGAAAATTGAAAAAAAAATAAAATAAAATGTAATAAGTAAATTAATTTAACTAGATATTTAACTAACAACGCCCAATCTGATAATATTTTACAGCACCTGATGGCTGGTTGGCTCAACAACTACAATTTGAAATGCGAACCCGTGGACTACTCAGATGGACCTATGTCAAAGCGGGTAAGTGATCGTTTAAAATTAATGAAAAATAATTTACTGCTGAAAAACTAAAAAAAAATCAGGCTCTAAAATTGATGGTATAATAATAATTGAGATAGAAAAAATTAATTAATTAAAAATATATGAGAAAAAATAAAAAAATAAAAAATTAAAAAATACTATTCCCACAAAAAAAATAAATATTTTTGACTTTCGCCTCAACTGCACTTTCTTAAACAAAAAAAAAAAAACATTATACCAAGGGAAACAGCAGCGCAGACTCCAAACCGATTAGCTCATTTTTGTTTTCGTCGCTAACTTTCAAGGTTAATAATATGCCAAAAATGTGGTTTTAAACTTGTACCCATATAAATACATTCAAACGTATTTTTATATACATATGCAAATGTATATACATATTTAAATGCATGAGATGTTTATCAAAAGGTAAAAGCACAAGAAAGACCGTAAGAGTGCGCTTGCCGCGCAGTTAGCAACTCCATAAAATAGTTAAATATATATGTATATGTTTCTAACATAAGGGGACTAAAAATATTTTAAATTATCAATTTAATTATTGATTACTTTTTGTAGCCTCTTTCTTTGTTGTTATTCATCAGCGCTACTTTTGTGCTTTTGTTGCAATAAAACACTTGTTGTTGTTTGCGCATCTCCCTTTTTATTAATTTTTCTTTACTCTTCATTTTTAACTAGAAAACAGGTATTTTCAGCTCTGCTGTAAAAGTGCATAAATAAATTTTTTCGTATAAAATAAATTTATTTAATTTAAATTAAAATTATTTACAGGTTTAGGTTGCATGGTGCATACGCTCAATCACAATATTATTTTTTTTTTAAATCGCAAATTTACATTAACTTTTTTTGAATCTTAACCGGTTTTCGATGTCATTGATTTCGTGTTCTAATACGCCGTTTATAGAAATCATTTGCAGAATTGCATGTCTGGGCATTTCGAAATTGAGTTTATTCGACATGTAATTTTGTATATTCAAAGTTCGAGAACACGAAAATTGTTTACTTGCATTCAGTTCGTAAACCTTTATTTAAAATTCCATAAACAAAGTATATTCGTTAGTTCTCCTCAATATATATTGGGAATTCAAATTTATTGCATAATTTCTTTTAAATTGTCGCAGCTAAAAACAAGATTTCCAAAAAAGCGTATTTAATATTTCATATTGATTTTTAAGGTTAGAAAAGTTAAGTTTAGTTAAGGTTGAGTTATGACAAAAACTAGCGAAAATTTCAATAAAAGTTAAACAAATTTTGACTTTTAATTTGACAAGCCCTTCGTGCCATCGGGTGCAGGCAAAGAGTTGGTTAGTGACTTGCGAAGTCTCATTACATGTAGGACATAGCTTTCATATGTTGGGGTCAAGTCTGACTAAAAAGGAATCAAGTGGTCTATAATAGCCAGATCTTAGTTGTACCAGTATTACTTAGGCATCTCGTGCCAGCTCGATCTCTTTGTCGGTGTATTGATGCCAGGAATGCTATTCAAACTGAATCATATATTCTCGAGAAATAAATCGTACCAACGTTGAGTCATGCCGATTGCAGCTTACGCTATATCCTCAACATTATTATACTTTTTTGTGGATCAGAAAGGTGGCGTTCGGCTGACTGCTGCTCATTCATATTCAAACTTTATGAATGATAGTATTCAACATAAGGTGACTTATTGCATATGTCTCATAATATCAATACCGATCACAAGAGTTGAGAGAGATAGAAAAAATGTTAAAAATTATAACTGTTTGGTAACTTTTATAAAAGCCCTGCATTAAATTTCTGGTCACAGCTCAGAGCATGAAACAAAAGAAAGAAGGTCGTTTCACTCAATGTAAAATTGACAGAAGGAGATTTTTTGCCATTACCATATATCTCATTTTCATTTTAACTTCAAGATATTGCCACTTTAAAAATATTTCATAAATTTTTTTTATAAAGATATCCTAGGCCGCCTGAAAATAATCTTATTTCCAACAGTTTTCAAAAAATACAATACAAAGCCTTATTTTGTTAGCACGTTTTATTTTTATTTATTTTTTGCTTAAATTGAAAAGTTTTGTATGTTTTGTGATATATTTTTTTAAGTTTAGAAAGTTGGTTTTTTAGTGAAATTGGTAGCACAAAAATAAGTATACAAAAGTCAAAAAATCTTCTTATGTCAGATATTTAATATATTTCGCAAGAATTTTGAGTGAAACGACCATGTTTTTTGTATTATGAGCCATGATACAAAAAACATGGTATATATACCCATATGGATCTTAAAAGAGGTCTTCAATAGCTACCAACGGACAGCTAAATGTAAGACTGTGAAGCTGAAGTAAATATTATGGCAAATTCCTCTCAAATAAGAAATTTATCAAAATTAGGAAAATCGACATTAGCGAGTTGGCGGGATGGCGTGTATATCTCCTTTTCCGAAATGTTTCCCTTAAAAGATCTATGGTTCGTTGCTTGTGTGGTACTTATTGAATGTTGTCCAGATAAATAGAATTCAATTTTCGTCCATAATAAAACATTAGTCACTTCTGATAGCGCCAACTGTTCTCCGTAATTATTGCTCCATCCTAATTTTCGAAGAAGCTAGTTCCAATGACCCCGCCGGACCAAAAAGTTTCACGTTGAAGATGGATATGCCTTTGCCATAATTAAATCTTGGGCTCCCCGAGCTTCACAAGGGGACAATTTTGCTTATTGACATAGCAATCAAAGTGGAAATGGGCCTCATTATTCAAAATGATTTTGCGATTAAACTCCAGATCATATTAACAATATTCAAACACCCAATCAGCAAAGGCACGACATTGTTGATGATCGACCGGATTGGGTTCTTATGATAACTGAATTTTATATGTCTTAAGACCCAAGTCAGTGTAATAACGTTTGCGGAAAGTTCTATTCCAAAGAACGACGAGAAATAGACAAAGCTGGGGTTTCTTCAACACTTAGGGCTACAACAACAATATTTTCATCTGTTCTTGAGTAACTTGGCGCAACACCTGGTGATCACTTTTCACTTACATGGCGTTCATACAGCATAAGTTGATATGGCTCAGTCGCTATGTTTTTGACTAGTTTGTATCTATGTATGTATGCATATATCTAATATACGCAATTAAATTTGAAAGCAAAAATTATAAACAAATTTTCAATATTTGACAAATGACAATGACACAATCAAATGCAATTTAATGACAGAATGATTACGTACAAACACAAAATTAGAATTTGTTATATGTATTAAAGTCTTTGGTAGTTTTAGTAGTTATTTACCCACATACATATATACATGAAAAAAATCTAAGTAAATTTTGAAACGCATCGCTGAGCGCGCGCCAAAATTTCATTGGAGCATTAAATGTCTATGCGTATTTGCACATAGATAAATACTCATGCATATGTATGTGTGTTTAGTATGTACCTTTACTCTTCTATGTATGTATTGAAAAGTAAAATATATTCTGCGGTTACTTTTGATTGCGCTTGCCTTTCATTATGCATGTTTGTATGTATGTACATATGTATGTACATATAAATAAGTATATTAACTTCTAATACTCATTTTGTGTTTTGGCTTCTATTCTGCCTCAGAGTTGATTCTTTTTGCACTTACACACATACATAGGTATGTACACTTGTGAGTGAGTTTGCACAAGCCGGCTTGTGTTTGCGGTAATATCAGACACCAATATACCCCCCCAAGGCATCTCGCCTTCTTTCCCAACAACCGACAGCAATCGACAGCAATCGACAGTAATCGACTCTACCGGATCAGCGATTGCGGCAGCAAGTAGTTGTTAATCAAATTAGGCAGTACGAGTATGTTGGCAAACAGAGCAACTTTATCGCTTCACTCTTTGGTTTTTCTTTTACTTAATATTCTTTTTGATTACTTCTCATTTAATATAATATATGCCTACAAGCAATCAACTTCCACTTCCAGTTCTACCGTCGAGAAGTTTCACTTATATGAACTATGTGTATGTGTATATAAGGAAAAACTATGTATTTCGGTTAATATGGTGTACTTAAACATAATATATTAATAATATGAAATTATTAAGAATATTTTGTTTTAACATTTCAAAGCGTGAATAAAACTATAAATATAAATATATAAATATTTGTATGTAATTTGCTTATTTAATATTTTTCGTAACTCTTATGTTGGACAGTTCATAAAAACATGGTAAAAAGTAATCCACTAATTTTTACTCGAATTGAAAGCTTTAAAAAAAAAAGTTTGAAAAAAAATATTGGAAGTATCGAGTTACACAGGGTTCACTTGAAACTAATTTTTTATCAGTCAAATCATTCGCCATAGATAAGAACAGCTTGTAATTACTTTGTGCAAAGTCCGGACTATAAGGTGGATGCATAATAACCTCTCAGACAAGTTTTCAGAGCTCCTGGTGAGTCACTATTAATGTGTGTGGCTTGACGTTGTCCTTATGAAACAAAACTCCCTCTGTTGTCAAAAGCAAGCCGCGATTGCTACCTTCAGACGGTTGAATTACTGATACAGATTGGAATGGAGAGTTTGACATTAGGTGAGTACCTCAAAAATTTCCTAGCCGTCTATCCTAGCTTGGAGACCACTTCTTTCGGCTCACTGCCCTTCGACAATGACTTTTCTCATTTGACGTTACTATAAAAGATTCAGCTCTAATCACCAGTCACCATGCGCTTTAGAAATGGTGCTCTACAAACTTTAAGGAAAAACTACAGCTGGTCAAAGTAATCCAAATCATCTAACGTTGTGCTGAAGAAACAAGCTGTTTCGACAGCTAATTAATCGAAAAGAAGAGGTATTAAAGGATTCGGCTTAATTAGGCACAATAAGTGATGGGATTACTGTATGACTCGTTGCATGCCAGACATAAGTTGGGTATGTTAGGGTCGGGTATGTATAAGCAAGAGTTTATTTACCACATTGCGTCTCACTAGTCTTTGACGAACACATTGATGCTATCGGCAGCTTGCCTGGA